GCGACGTGGTGGGCGACGTGCGTTTTGATCATGTCGGTGGGACGCGGTCATGTTGAAGAAGCACTGCGTGGGTGGTTCAGAGTTGGTTTGGTGCTGGGCTGCTGAGTGTGATTTTCGGTGAGAAAAAGCGCATTTGGTTCGTGGAGATGCAGGATGACTTGAGGTGGTGCAGTGTAAGTAATACTGTGGTGGGCTTAGGTTAGGCAATTGAGGGACCCTCCAAAAATGGCAGCGGAGTCCAGGAACGGTGGGAGCAGGTGATTCTGATGTGGAAATTGCATGGTAGGGAACATGTGGTTGATTAAACCCCCCCGCTGACCGTGTTTCGGTGTTCCTGTCTGATATTCCATTGCCACCAGGATCCACCAGCTTTTGATCATTCTCAGCCCCTTGTAGCACCCGTGGCTTCCAAGGAGAGTAGGTTGAAGACTTAACACCATAATTACGATAAGCATCGAGCATGCTCCCACAAATGGTTCTTTAAACCATGGCAGTTCACAGTGACTGACAGTTTAGGTATTGAAGCCTTTAAACTTTCACAAGATCTCCACAGACCCACAGGATTCCGCAGGTGCCTGGCAGAGCAGCCCGTTCTGTCTCACCGAAGTAGAAATTGAAGGAACACGATCCGAAGTAGCACATTCCAACTGCGGACGACTGAACATATCAACCTCCCCATGCCCTGCACTTCGGTTGGATCAAGGGTCCGTCATGTAAACCCGTCAAGTCATGCGCTGGCCCGATGAGACCGTCTTCGCCAGGAGGCGATGATGGAGCTGCGGCGAACGGACCAGGCAAAGCATTGGAGCGACATCCTTCCCCAGGGTCGGTGCATGAGTTCTTTTTTTAGAGGATTAGAGCTACTGTAAAACGATAAGGTCCAACTCAAAACCAATGATGTCCATATTGAAGTTGAAGAAGCAGAATGAGTTTTGACCGTCCCTCATGTGTTTATGCACAACTTCTTGGAATTCATCACCAATGTGAAGTCGGAAATGGTCAAGTACTTAGAGGTACTATAGCGGTTAGGGTCAGGTCCTAGCGCAACTAGAGAGAAAGGCCATTGGGCAAGGTGTAAAGTGAATCAGCGAGAGTGGCTCACATCAATCAAGAAGAGGGAACAACTACGACAAGAACATTTAATCCTTGGTCAATGTGAAGAATCTTTTGAGCAATGGCGCGTCCCGGTGGTATCCCTTTTGCAGGGGAAGCATTGGTTCATCACTGGAATGAGCTAGCCAGCGTGGGGGGATATACGTAATGGTTCTACAGGAAAAATCGGAGCACTCTGGAGGACTGGGGCACCAGTCCCGTTTTGCTGTTTTTTTTTTGAGAATGTTCCTTTCAGGAGCTCGAAAGCCAAAAACTGCTCATGAGCAACGAGGAGATTGGCTCCCAGTGCTGTGCAGTCCAGTGTGGGTAGAATGGAGCTCAGGAATCAGATGCAAGATTGATCAAGATTGCAGGGCATCAGCTCACCAATATGTTTTTCTTCCGCTGGAGGACCTCAGTCTGCTTATATATCTATTATCTGTAAATTTGTATGCTGCCCGGCATGCCTGGAGTCTCCGTTTTAAGGGATTCGGGCCAGTGGATTTTCGCTCCAGATAAATCCACGGGAAGTCTCTTGCTTTCTTTTGATGAAGACAGATGTTCACCAATCAATTACTGACTATATCTGACTATCATTTCCTGTATCTGACTATCGATTAACTATATAATATCTTTAAATCTATGTAGTTAAGATTAAGTTTCCTCATGCGCAGGACATGGCGCCATGTCTTGCTTCTTGCGAGGCTCCGCATCACGCGACCCAGCCAGCGACACGACTCGCCAGGACATGAGGCGGTTGAGACTGGAGGATCGCCAGAGGCAGCTCATGGAGCAATTGGCCCGGGGCCCCGGCATCTGGCGACGGGGTTGTCTTAGCAACAGCCAGAGTCAACTAAGACCATGGGTTAAGCAACAAGCAACAAGACCATGGGTCCAGCAACAAGACCATGTGTTTCCAGGGTTGTCTTAGCCTTTGTCCCCTCTGTGCGACAGCCATGCATGGCGACAGCGACCCACACGCGACCCCGGTCAACACTGGAGCGAACATGGACAGACTGCGAGACATGGTCCCAACGACCAGGGGCTCTGTGGTACTGGATCGTGCGCACAGCACAAAAACCACCGGTGCACCCATTACCCCAAACAAGGAATTTGTTGGATTAACTTCCACAGATTTCTCGAGCTTCATCATGTGGCAAATTCTGAAGACGCGACGATTGTTGCGATGGCATGGACCTCTTGGAGCAGTTCGAGGGCCAGGGCTCTCACTCCTGATCCCTACCGTCCCTACCCTCAAACACAGGGACTACAAAGAACATCGCGGAGATTGATGTTGAAACGGACGTCGTGTCTTCTTTGGGATCTGAGAATGCTTGAACTTGAGACGAGGGCACCCAGTGCAACGATGCAGTAGGGTTTGCGGATTTCGAGAGACATGAAGTTGCCCGGGCTGAGGACAAGGAGAACCTCAAAGCGAAACACGCTCAAATTGATTGTATGGGCCGTGGTGCTGCTGCTTTTCCTGAGCTTACCTAGAGCCCTTGGCAGGGAAGTGGTGTTTCTTGTCAATCTGCACGGCCTGGGGCAACCCTTGAAAGAGTCTGTCCACACATGGGCCAATCATGGACCGAACAGACATGCACACGCAGAGGCAGGAAAGCAGTCGCGTTTCACGTAGCTCATCACCACAAGAAGTCGGTGCTGGCTGCTGGTCGTGCACACCGGAACATGCAAGCCTAGAAAACCTGAAACACTGTAGATTCACTGTAGGTGAACAACCTCCCCATCCAGTTTTTGTTTACAAATCTAAGCTGTTCTAGGACTAGATTTGCTCAAAGAGGCGCAGCTTGCGGGAGAATCTTCGAAGGCATCACTGCGAATCTGCGGGTCGTTCGAAGGACCGACCAACACATACCAACACTAATGACTCTTCGTTACTAAGCCCTCCATATTGGGGGGTTATATTGAATCAAGAGTCTACACTTAGGAATCTGCTTCCTGGAGCCACCCCAGCCTTTTTGGGACCAATCTCGCTGTGCCTTGACGGGGAGCGCCCAGACAACTCGAGCCTTCTGGACCCCAAAGGGACCCGTGCCGGTGATGGCGAGAAGCCTCAAGATAACCCAGCCGTGTCGTTCACCCAAACTCTGTCACCCAGCTCCTTAATAGGATCCAATAGGGGACAAGTGTACAAATAAACAATTCATGAATCATGATCCACTCTCCATTCGGCGAGTGGGAGACACTCCTCTAAGTATCCGACCTGCAGATCCATGCAGATCCTATTGGTTTAGTGTTTACGCATGTGAAAAAGCACTTACTGTAAAAACGCCTCTCTAAAAAGCTCCTTCGACTTGACGCAGCACGAGCTTATGACCCGTCGCATTGGCACCGGCAGCACGGCACCGGCACGTGCGATCCGAGAGGCCCGAGATCTGCGGCAAAGCTAGTAGAAACAAGTGCCTTACTGGTAGAATTAAACCATTAAATTAAAACTAATAGCTTCTTTGTTACTACTAGTAAGTAAGGCACCTGTTACTACTAGCGTGGCACTTGTTGGGCAAAGATCTGCGACTGTCGGCCCATGCACTATATATAACCTGGCGCGGGACTGGCAGTGCCAGTGAAATGACCTCTTCTACTTGCTGATTGGTTCACTTTGGGAGCCCCTCCAAGACAACAAGACAAATGGAAGAATGGTTGAGTGGATCCGATCGGACTGATCGGTTTGGCTTCTAATTCTAGGATCCAATTTTAATACACGACCCCAACATACCTGGAGCATCCTGTGTGGGTGTCCAATGGAGATTCCTAAGCGGTGTAGGGTAGTCTATTGAGCACCCAGACATCTCGCTGGCAAACGTCCTCGGCACACGCAAGAGGAAACCAAGATGAGAAAAGAGGACATCCAGACAGGATGGTCCTAGAAAATGATCCACCTGTTTAGGGTCTTTTCGGGAACCGAAGGGTCAAGTCGCCACACTGTTCGAGACACTCTCGGATCGCCGCCGTCCGTCGGGACCGCCTAAATGCGCGGCGGTCAGACGGTCGGCGTGGCCGGAGACCGGTCGCTTGGGGGCCTGAAATTCTGGGAGACGGCCGATGATGGCCGATGCTCGGAACATTGCTGAACTCGTTACGTGAAATCAATTGGGTTCGCCCCTCATGGACATAGGAAAGTGCCTATTTGTTGGTGATTGGCAACTTTATTGGTGAAACATGTGTTGTGAGATCTGGACTGACTTATCGTGATCTGTTTGGGACTGCTAATGGTGCAGCTGGATGAGTAGTTGGGCCATACTGACGCGCTCAGCATGCATGTTTTCACACTGTTGGTTGGTTCTGTTTCGTTGATATGCCTCAACATGAAGCTTGGAAGATGACAATAAAAGCAACAGATCCAGTCCAGGCCCCAGTCCGCCTCCTCAAGGGAGGACCATGACGTGGGGATCGCGTGGATTCCTCCTGCGTCATGGAAAAGGTGTTCACCCAAGGAAAAGGATGTTTTGGTCAGTTTTGGTGCATGCTTGGCGAAGGAGGTGCGAAGGTGAAGTAGGAGAAGGAGGTCTGAAAGGAAGCAGTGTGGAAGTAGGAGAATCTTGGGGCAGGAAAGGTCGATTCTTGTTAAGCGCGGTGCCAAATGAAGAAAACTCTTTGTGCCAAATGAAGAAAACTCTTCTTTGTTCATAGGCACCGTTCCCGACTTCCGCGACTTTTGAAGAGGGCAATTCCAGTCCATCATCCTAAAAAGCACTTGGATGCGAAGATGTAGGACATGGTTTGCAAGCAATCTGGACATCTGATAGGCAAATGCACAGCATAGCCGCCGTGTACTCAGCCTACTTAGCTCGTCTAGTTTTTGCCCGTCATAGGTAATGGCTGATCAAGTGGCTGAAAGCTGACCACATGTTCGCGACCGCCAACCAGGCGCATCCCCCACTCACCGCAGCCATGTATTTCATATCAAGGCGTTCCATGCCGCCTTCGGCGGGGCGCGACGGCCCTGCGGCCGTCTCAGGCCTCGGGGCCGAGTTCATCGGCATATGGGGTCGGTAGTGGGGTCGGTATATGTATATGGGTGTGTATACTCCCAACCAATGGGTCTTGGTCTATTCCATCCTAAATGAGGGGTTTTGGTAGGTCTCCCTGTTTTGATGCACACCGTTATTCTGTTTTCGTTTTCTTCTGCGGCGTTCGAAAGAAGCCGAATCAAACCCCAAAGATCCTTGCTGAGAAGTGATTTTGGTGCTTCACCGTCACAAGCCCTGTCCTTCCGTGGCTAGTGTAGCAGTGGGTGACAGATGGCACTATGGGTGCACCGTAGCATACAGTCTACAGTATACAGATGTATACAGTATACACCAATTTGAAACCTACATGGCGATTCCTATATTTTCACCACATGGGCGACCTTGGACATTTGGCATCGTGGACTGATCTTCCGATCGCTTGGACATTGGTGGCTTTAGTGATCCTGTGCCCGCGCAAGAGTGCCCGTGCGTGCATGGATGTGCTCGTTGCTTGCACTGGCCTGGCCCTGGCCCAATGGGTCTTGGTTTATTTTCCTTCTTCTTAGAGGTCTTTGGGAGTCATTCCGCAATTTCACAGGAATGTCCTCTCCCTCTCAACCCTGTCAGGCTGCAGCCAATGAAGCTATGCTTTCTCCTGGCTGTGATCTCAACAGCCAGGCGCCACGTACAGCTATTTCGCGCCACAACTGGACTTTGCGAGCATTGTCATTACGTTTGTTTTTGGCATTCCTTAAACTTAAACCTTAGCAGATACAAAAGACACATAGGATTGCTGAGCCTTGGTCGCGGGGTGCTTGGGATTTTCCGATGTCCAAGGGCCCAAGGCCTGGTCGATGTCGACATCGCTTTCGGGGCGCCCTCTTCTGCCCCACCGCCAGTGCCCACCTCCGTGTTGGAACTCTCTAGTTCGGACCTGTTGGACGAACATGGACGAAAGTGCTGCTCTCCCACACGTCGACTCTATTTTTAGTTCCTGGGCAGGAAGCTTGTGGATCCTGCACCGTTTCCTCGAGGCGAGGGGGGCGATGGCGCGAGGCGAGCTGTGCGGAAGGAAGAAAGAATCGCCATAGTCGATCCACAAGTCATGAGAATGAGAATGGCCCGGATCAATGATCAAGAGCAACTTCTGCGGATTCTAAGTGCTGAATCGGGCTGTTTGGCTGTTGTTTATTGATCTGATCTTGTCAGTGATTTTCATCCACTTGGCTCCGTGGCGCAAGTCAACTTGCGGTGTTTGTTCCCTAACTATTGCAAGATGATTGAAGTTGGTGAAACCTTCGGAGGAACCAGCTGCAACGACATGTGGTCCAAAGATGATTTCATTTGTCAAGGACGACAGTTGTTTTGATGGGTGCTAAGACAAATCAAACAAAAGGTCTTTCCGCCCTGACTTGGCTTGCGGCTCATACAAAGCTTATATATATATATTTATATATAGTATATTTTTGAATCCTCTATCAGATGTGATAAACTTGGACCAGAAGGTCCCGAACTCAGATCCCCCGGAGAAAGCCTTAAGCTTGGATCTTTATGAGACAGCTGCAAAATAACGAGGTTTCAGAATTTCAGACCAGCTCAAGTAAAGCAGGTCAAGCATTGAAAAACACATCAGGGAGGCGTTCCGTGAAATGTGTTGACATGTCATCATCGGCAGCCAGAAGGCACTTGGTAGCAGTAGAAATATTGTGTGGTTTTTCTCACTGTCAATTCGCAGATGCTTCGATCCAAGTGTAAATAGCTGAGAGAGAGGGAGAGAGAGAGAGAGATGCTTGAGTTGAAAGGTTAGTCTCCGTGTGGGGGAGACCAAGCCGAAAGCATCCACATAGCCGGACCCGCCTCGCCTCGCGGCCGGAATCGCGCAGGGAAGCTGAATGCTGGGATTGACCTTGATGGCGTGGAGGCTGAACGTTTCCCTGCAAAAGACAAAGCACTCCCAAGCTGCAGCATTCCCAAGCTGCGATGAAAAAACATTCGAACGTTGCAGTTTTAAGCTGTGCAGCTCACAGCGTCACAGCTGTCACATCGGATGGACTTTCCTCCACTGTGAGGCCATGGTTTTGCAGCTGGGAAACCGCTCTACGCCATCCATGAAGCCACTGTTCGATGACTTCCGCAAGCTGCTGCAAGAGGCAAGAGTCCGCCGGTGGGGGATGGGAAGAGGTATGGAGAGGTGCTTTGTTGTCCACAGCCAGGGCGCTGTTGATCCATCTTAGCTGGACTGGAGGATATACAAAAGACAAGATTTGCTTAGGAATGATTGATGATCCCAATTGACCGTGTGGCGATGGTGAACCAATGGCGGCGAACCGGTTGTTGGGCAACTTGGGGGTTAGATGGGGCTTGAAGACTGTTTGGTTGATCGCATTCAGGAGCATTGTCGTTTGTGCATCATCAATGACTATATATATATATATAACTAGTTCTATGGGGATCAGTTGTTTCCGTTTTCGCTGCTATTAACTGGTTCTTTTCGGAGTGCATACCAAGGTTCCTGGCAGACTTGCATTGACCTACTGTACGGGATTTTTTTGTGTCTAGCCTTTGAACCTTGAGGTGCCTTTCAAATCCACACAGGTAGGCCTGCCGTAGCGGCCTTCGATCAACAGCGCCAAACGTCGCTTGAGGGTGCCAGACAGTTGGGACGACCCCCCCTACACTACCCATACCATGCTTTTGGTGCCTACACACGATCTCGGGATTTGGTGTTCGTTTGGAGTTTTCTCGCTCAGTTGAACTCTGAAAAACAGGTTGGAAACTGGAGGTTCCATCTGAAAGTTTCATGTGAAAGATTCCAATGTGTGACCAGGTGTGTCATTGGCATTTGGTGATCACTCGGGTCCCTTTGGTAAACCACTTGCAACGAGTGTTGAGCCTCGCGCCACTCCTCTTCACAGAGGAGCTCTTACCCCGACTCTATGATGAGAAAGGCACGCCGATTGCTGCGCGGGTTAAGCACTTCACTGAGTGCCAGTAAAGATTGAAAGCCAACTCTAGCTGAACCTTGGTCCTGGAAGTAGGGCCTACATTGGGTCTGTCCTATTACCTGTCACAGTGAGTACACAATTATTACTGTTTTGAGGCAGGCTTTTATTACTACTACTACTACTACTAATGCTACTAATAATAATCATCATCATCATCAATTGGTACTGGTAATATGGGATACCCAAGGTCTACACATGTTCATTTCTTCCTCCCTCAATTGCATTCAGACTTTATTTTTGCTGTGAGTGGATAGCCGTGGACAATGTTTGGAGCCCAAACACTCATGACTCATGATCATTCATGTGTCGCAGCCTAGGTCTATGCTTCTTGGCACTACTCCTGAATAATTCTGATTTGTTTCCGCAGTTGTGTGGACACAATGTCCACCAATGTCCTGTGTCCTTCTCCATGCTTCAGTGATTCAAGTTGCGATGTGTCGGCATTTGCATCGAGGCACCGCCAAGTCATTGCTGGAAGATGCTGCCAAAGGACTGCTAGAGAGCCATTTGATTTGCCAAACCCGTTCGATGATGTTCATCCCTTTTGCCTCCAATCCTCTGCCAGCTGGCAGGATTCGAAAGCTGCCAAGGCGTTGACCAGAGCCGCGTTTGGCGCCTGAGTGCCTCACACCAGCGGTGCAGGGCACAAGAAGCGCAGCTCCGCAGACAGCAGTGCCTTGGTGGCAGTGGATGGGTGGAGCTGCCTGGGAGTTCTTCCAACTGCCCCATCAGTTGCACTGTGGTTGTAAGCTACCAGCTTGTCATAGCCGAAGCCCGGTCAAGTAGCGTCTCCCTTGTGAAACTAGTGAACTAGTGCCTTCTTCCTTGGGATGGTTGGGATGGATATGTTTGACCCATGGCTCCATGTTAGCCCTTGGAACAGGAAAGCTGTATGCAGGACTTGCTTGTGATCTCCTGTCCTACCACGGTCTTTAGTGCTGTGGAGCGGATCAAAAACCGTGGTAGAAAGCCATGTCGCCATGTCCATGCTTTTGCGGCCGACCTCAGGAAAGATGTTTGCGATATGTCCACCGCCATGGCGACGAACCAGCACGAGACGTGCCAAGCCTTCCAGGGTGCCGACCGAGTTTCGTCCGCGTTGTCCCGACGCGTCCGGAAACCGGAAACCGGCGGTGTGCTGTGCGTCCATCGAATCCAGGCGAATCGTCGATGTTCACAGTTTTTTCACAAATCTGGATGGTAGGAGCGAGCCCAATTTGATCATTCTGAACTCCCGGGAATCCATTGATGTTCACGCTCCGTTGACCTTCCCACATCGGTGCGGCTGGTTTCTGCTGCCAGCAACAGCTGATAGGGCCCGGCCCGGCATCAAAAGGCTCCCCCCCCGCGAGCGGCATTTTCGGCAGAGCCGTCTCGCAGCTGCAGACCTTGACGTGTTTCCAGAGGGCGTGCCAGTGGTGTGCAACAAGGACTCCTTTTGAGGCCACATTTGGACACTTGTTGGAGGGATAGTGCGAAGTCTCGAAGGTGCGAAGTCTCGAACATTTAAGGTGCGAAGTCTCTCTCTATATATATATATATACAGTTGTTTTGTTTGATCAGAGTGCGTACTGCTACTGAGACGGGGGGGCAGTTTATTTATGTTTCACCGCTGTGTGCACACACATATACAATTATTGTTGTAAATTTTAAATATTTGATTGTATATAATATAATTTTACCAACATATTTACATCAGATTTACATAAGTTACATATGGTCATATGGTTATATTATTTTCTTTGTTTTAATACGCCTTACCGGATCTTACGGGATTGAATTCATGTATTACATAAATCCAGCAGTCTGACCGCCGACAAGCAAAAACATGCATGTACTTCAAGATGCATAGTTGGGCTTGTCGAGCTTTTTTGCTCGGCTCCTGCACACGCCTAAGGGGCCAAGATCCAACTCAGGCAATTCATGTGCTCACGCTGGTCTAAAATCTTCTCAATCCTGATCTAAAGGTTGTCTGACAGAGGGCCCCCCAGCCGGCAGAAGACATCCTGAATCCGGAAGAGCATCATTGTTGGGTGAGCATGGTGTAACTTAAAGTTCTTGCACCCCTCCTAAACCACGCAGCGCAGGAGGCCAACGATACCAGCCATGAAGCCCACGCGAAGCGTGTGCGTGACTTCTATGCCCAGTGACTTTGGTCGCAGGCGCTGCATGTGAAGACTTTAAGTTGGACTTATAGGAAATTATGAAAGATCCCTTCAAATAGTTGAGGTTCTGCATTTGCGGCTATTTGCTTATCATTTGTTTGAGTGCTTTTGTATGCTTTTGTGGGGGGGGTCGGTTTTTCCGCGGCCTGGCTTTGGAGCGTTGATGAGGCATGATGCGGCGATAGATTGCTGGGCTACATCTAGGGCCAGGGCCGGGAGGATAGGGTCCACAGTTATCAGACAAACGTTTAAGCTAGAAGACTAGAAGCTCTCCCTGCCTGGCTGCCTCCGAGCCGAGGAAAGTGCAGGCGCGTCATCTCCGGACGAGTCACGGCAGTTCCCGTCTTGGGCGTCGACACCGTCGGCTTCGTCCTCGACCCCGGACACTGTCGGCTTCCAGGCCTGGGCGGTGGCGGAAGGCCTTTGTGCGAACCAGACGGCGCGTGCCACGCAAAGCGCTGGCGACTGCAAGGCAGCGGGTGCGAGCGTGGTCAGCAAGGGCCACTGGGAGCTATAGTGAGTGAAGTTCGGAGCTGGTGGAGGGGGGGTCGCTCTATGTCAAAGAGCTCTTTGCATTCTTTGCTGGATTGATTGGGGACAGACTTCGTGGTGGGGTGTCTTGAAGTGTAGTGAGGGCAAGGGCAAGCCTCGGCTTTTCACGGCGGTGGGGTTCGGGAGTCTTCCACATGCAGGGTGTTGGTTTGATTTGGTGTGGAAATGTGTGCAATTTGGCTTCCCCCCCGAACCTGCCAAGACCATCCACGACCATTAAACGAAAAGTTGATTTGGTGTTGCAGTTTATCATTCTTACAGTAGCACTTATGTATGAAAAAAATAAAATAAAACGTTATGAAACAATGGTTGTTCAGTAAGTGAGAATATGAATGAACCCAATGAATCAACGGTGGGCTAGGAATCCTGGAACGACTTGGAAGTGCATCCTTCGGTGGGGTTGAGTCACGGAGAGGCTCGTTCTGCACGGCCGGGCACCAAAGACCTGGCCGGGGGGGAATGTTGGACATGGAAGCCATTTAGGCTTGGGGATTTTGACTGGCCCAAGCAGCGCAAAATTGCGAAAGCTCGGCTGACTGCTGGACGAGGGTCTTTCATGCCATTTGAGGTGAGAACTGCACTGAAATCCAAAGGACTGGAGCGGCCGGGCAGTTTTAGGAAAGCTAGTTGCTTTGAGAACCTCGCAGTGGGGCTTGATACGCTTGTATCGTCGCAAAAAGCGCATTGTATCACTCCTCCGCCTCTCTTCCTCTCTCCCTCTCTCCCTCTCTCCCTCTCTCCCTCTCTCTCGGAATCCATGCCGTGTTGTCACATGTGAAGCGCACTTGAGAGGAAACGCACGCGCACACACACAGACTTATTGCCTGTATATGGAGAAGATGTGACCTAGCGATGTTATTGTATAGATGGAAAGAGATACCCTCCGCAGCGTCACGCAGCGTGGAGGATGCTGGATGATCTGGCTTGTGAAGCATGGACGGAGCACTATGATTGTCACTTGGACCCACTGAGAGCAGCGACGGAGCGGCCACGGTCCATGTTCAGCACGGAGCGTAATGCACACCTCACCCCAAGTCAATGTTGTTGGGAAGAAGCCCAGATGACCTGCGACAATCGTTTTGAAGCACTTGGCTTTTGTGGGGCTTTGAAACAGGTGCACATCAGCATGATCAGCTAGAAGAAGTTCCTCCCAGCTTCCCAAGCCCTTTATTGGGATGTCCATGTCCAAATCATTGCGAAGAGATGTGATGAGTCGCCGTGCCCGGTGCGCGCCGTGCTGCGCGCCGTGCTGCGCGCCTCACCGTCCGACCTGGTGACGGTTGTTGGTGAACCATCGCGCCATCAACGGTTCCGCGGGTTTTGGGGAACGGTTTAGGTACCGGTTTGGCGGTTTGGCATCACAGGTCTGGTGGAGGCTCAAGAACCATTCCAAGAACATAGGATATAGAACTGTTCAAGAACCATTCGCATGACCTGAACCATCATAGCACTTTTTGCAAGCAGTAGAGCTTTTTGATACTAGTTGGATCTAGTCGGGCTTTTGTAGTGTTGAAGTGCACGCTTTCTAGGGTGTTCCTTAGTACTGAGCGTTTTTTGAGTTGGTGATGACTGGAGCTCCCTTGTGGGTTTAATGCCGCCTGTATAAGCTTCTTATTCCACTGGCTGCTGCCGAACCAACCAAATGCCCTGAATCTCGGTGCGTCTGCGTCAATCGAAAGGAACATGTGTTCCCTCAAAGTTCTGGGCGCCAGGTGGACATCCGCAACATGCGCACTTGGCCGCGTGCCGAAACAATGCACGCCACACCGTGCCGAAACAATGCACGTTGGAAACGCATCGGGTTTGCATATGATGCATGGATTCATGTGTCAAGCCCAGAGGTGCACGTGTGCAGTGTGCAGTGCGGAGGCACGGCCCAAAATGGGTTGGATATGAGTTCCATGCGTGATCATGCATGTTATTTGAGTGCTTCCAACGTGTTGGCTTGAAAGAGCACTCTTTGAAACATTGAGTGCAAGGTGTTGTAGAGGTGGAACCTTCAGGTTTAGGAAAGGCACCACTCCCGGAAACACAAGGGATCGCTGCAAAGGGATTGGTCCGGTCCAAACTCAAGTCCCTTGCCTTGAGTTCGTAGGGTTTCTAGTGCTTCTGTGTGCACCCTCCACCCATTGGCTGAAATTCCTTTGCACCTTCCCAGGTGAGAAGAAGTCCGTGTCCTGCTTGTTCCAAGCACGGCAGAGATACCTGGATGCAGGGACCCCCAGGAACAAGCCAGTGTCGGTAGATCCTGCTAGTTGAAGCACTGTTCATGTGGCATCATTTGGCTATACTCCCTGAAAGTATCAGGACCGTAGTTCACTTGCCAGCTGGTCAGTGGGGACCCCCTGCCAACAGAGCCGGAAGTAACGTAGATGCCCCCGAAGGTGCTGGGTGACACTCCCCTCAAGCAAGAATTGATAGGAATTGGCTGCTTGCAGGAGCATTTGGAGGACTGTCTTCCTCTAAGGTTCTGGGGCAAATAAGGTTGTATGTGTTTGATATATATTATATTTTAATGTTCCTGTCCTAGATGGCCCTGAACAAGAATTCAATAAACCCTTCAATGATTCTCTCCGACTCTGCAAGGCACTTGGCCATACATTGAGTCAAACAGTGTCCTATCTCTGAAGAAAAATTGGACCAACAACATTCCTTGAAGCAGTCCAAAAAGAAGTTGGAACCACCGCAAGACTGCCCTGCCCCAAATTGCTTGCCAACTCGGCGACGAGTGGCTCCTGGCTTCGGCACTCGGATGTGACTGAGGCCAATCGCACGGGCGCGCGCACGGACGAGGATTTGCAGTCCCAATGGCGGGCGGTGAAGCGTGACCTGGCGCAGATGAGTGAAAAGTTACCAACATCATGTGAGGTATTAGTGTCCAAAAACCACATTTCTGTTAACTGTTATGGCCCTGGACCATGTTTTATCATGTTTTCTCCATTCGTGGCCCTTGTGTGTTTGGAAGAGCTTTTACCCAAAGAAAGGAGAAAGAGGAAGAGGAGGAAAGATGCACCATTTGTGGACAAAATGGATGCACTTTGGTGGGTTGCTTCTCTACCTTGGACGTTTGACACCTGCTTTGCTTTGGGAATGGCATTCCTCGTCCTTGTGGCGTTCGGTGACTGAAGGTCTGACGTTTCGAACCTCCGTCCCATCCCTTCCTCCAACATCTCGGAAAGGGGACCACCCCTGGGTCTAAGGGGGCCCAAGCAAACTGATCCAAGGCATCGAGTGCTTGTTGGATGCGATGGAGCAGAGCGAGGACATGAATCATGCACTGGAGGAATGCAGGACTGGGAAAGGGGGTTGCCCACCCCAAACGAACATGGAAGCGAAAAACAGACCTTCATGAGTTCTATCATGTTCTGATGAAAACTTCCGCCCTTCGCAATGCCAACTCAGAAGCTGTTTTTGCATGTTTTTATTCTACTTGCGGGCCTTACAGTGCCCTTCGCTGGCGTGCTGGGCGCCAAGTCTTTGACTACGGTTAGTCCCATGCCCAGACAGGAAACTGGACTCAACAACATACTCAACAGCCATACATGACTCGCTGTTCTTGCTGTTCTCGGAATGGGGAAGTTGGGCTACAAGTTGCACAAGGCCCCCCGGTCGAAATAACGTGGCATCATGTACACAACCCTATATAACCGTGAGCAAGGACCCTCGCAGGTGTCCGCCCTCGCCCAGGAGTAAGAGCCATGATGCCAGCCCCATTGCCTTGAGCTACCCCTTCTACCAGGCGGATTGCGTGGATGTGTTTATACGTATTTTAAAGGTACTAAAGTAGACCTGGCTGCAACATCCTGGAGCCCATGTGTCACCTGTTTTGACAGGAAGAGGCGGACTGATTTTTTGTAACTTAGGCTTTAAAGTCTATTAGTATAGCCTATTCAACACGTTGACCCATAGAACATGCTCAAAGCAGCACCCTTTTCCTTACTGATCATATGATACAAGGAAACATAGAACACATAAGACAAACACGTAAACAAATATTATGGGTTTCCAGGATGAATGCTTAGAGCATTTTTAGATTCATCCAAGAGTGTCAGTATCAGTTTGTTCATATAGCACTATGTACTCCAGGATGGTTCAGCCAGCTTACAACTCAGATGTTTCAGTTCTGTTCAAGGTCCAAATTGCCTAACGCCGGCAGGACTGGGCACCTCAGATGCCCGATGTGAGCGAATGCAAGCAGCCACGGTTCCCACCGTTCCCCGGATGTAGCTTCAGGGATGAGAGGAAGATGGGAACTGCAGGGATGAGTCCTGGATTCTTGTGGACATCGAGCGTAGTCCGCAGCTTCGGAAGCTGCTTTCAGCCAGCCGGCTTTAAAACGCACTCCGAGTTGCCAACATGGAAGTGGAATGCACTTGTTTGTAGAGGAAAACGGTCATCCAACGTGACGTTGTCCACTTCCATGAAGTGACATCGGTCCACTGACATAGGTGGTTCAACCGTTTTTTTTTTCCCGCTGACGAGTCTTCGTGGCCAAACATCAGCAATCTGGAATAGAATAAGGGATAATAAGAGGGTCATGAGTCATGAGTCACAGGAAATCTTGATGTACACATTGTACACTTGCTGGATGATCATCAACTGTAGAGATTGCTTGCGCACGACTTTTGGACAAAAGGATGCTCTCTTGGGGCATGTGCCCGAACATACGTTCCAATGAGACCTATATATTCAGTGTGAAGGATACCGGTGAGCATGCAGAATTCACCTTAAATTCTCCAAGTTTGGGGGGGGCTTGGAGCCCGACCTAACCTCTTCAGGTCCAGTTGGGAGGCTGGTTGAGTTCGCGTCGTTGGACCTTTTGGGGTGCTTCTTTTAGGGCGCTCCCCACCATCTCCAACCGGTTTCGGTAGGATGGTGGCACTCCCGCACAGTTGACGGTGCGGGAGTGATGCTGCGAACTCTTGGAGGTGGAGCCGTTTTTGATCCGAAAGACCATGTACTTCAAGTTTCGGGTCCCAACTGTTGCTGTATTTAGGGATGATGAAGGGGACATGTGATGGACGTGAACTCACAGTATACACTCCGACTCAGTAACATGGAAGTGGATGGCATGGTCCCTTGGAAGACTACTTTCCTTTACGAACAGGGGCTGACGTCATGTGAACTTCACTTCCATGATTTTTTTCAGGTATATACAGTAATATATGAATCTTATAGATTCACAAATTGTTGATTGTTCAAGGCTCAACGACCTGAGCACACCTACAGTAGGTGTTAGGTGTTCGTTTTGCAATCGACCGAAAGGATATTTTGTTGATGTGTCCTTCGGGCTCTTTTGGCCTGGCCTTTCCATTCTTTCTATTTTTCCATCAATTTCTGGTCTAATTGTTTGTTTGTTTATTCATTTCTGCAGCTAGCTGTCCATCATTCCAGTCCGTGGCCGCCGCGACATTTCGTTCTTGCGCCGTCGCCGCGAAGTTTGGTTTCTGCGCCAAGGCCAGGAAGCGCCACCTACCCAAAGCAAGTCTACGACTCTTGGGCTGCAAGGGTGCACATGTGTGGCAAGGTTGTCTCCGTTTGCCAGATAGGTGTCGTCAAAATCAGTTTCTTGAGTCCTGATATTCCCTTGCTGCAACTTGCTCTAACCAATGTCACTGACATGAGTCTGTTTGAAACGAGCATTGTCGTTTACTGGCTGAACCACCAAATGCCAAGTATTTTTCTGATACAACCCCCGTACGCCGTACGCCGGATGCAGTCAGTTTTTTTGTTCCAGTGGGGCAAGCCAAAGCATTCTTGGCCTGGGCATCAAGCGGTCACGTATGCGTCACCAAAAGGGAGTGCTCAATAGGTCAATAGACTGACACCAAGAATCAACATAAACTCCTACACTAGAGAAAGCGAAATAAAACCTAATGGTTTTTCATGGCAGCTGCTCCTTCAAAATGCACGACAGAGAACCTAGGGAAACAACATTGCATTAAACATTCACATGTTTTTTTTGCTTACTTGATACCACCTTGAAATTCACAGATCACCGTGTAAAGAGTTTCCGAAATCAAGCCTAGGGTCCATCAACTGTTGAGCAAGCGATGGACCTAGCAGAGGCGCCTACCATTGACTGGCAAGAAAAACATCACACTTCCCTATAGATAGTGTCCAACACAAAAAAGCACTTCCAAGCAAGAAATTCCACCCAGTCGCAATCAAGCAAGTGAAATCGATGGCCATGGCTCCAAGATATTGGACCTCTCATTCAGCCGCAAACCCGTGCGAATTATACATCGACCACAGCCGCCCTGGTCCTTAGGGCGGTGTTTTCCCGCCAAATCCGACTCCCTAGGTAAGGCCTTCCGAGGAATGTAGTTCTACGGGACTTGTCCTTCCTGCATGCTGGCCTTCAAAGACCGAAAGAATGTTTGATCTGGTGTTGTAGTCTACGATGCTTCGTACAAAAATGGCCGTTCTGGTACTAAAAACCCACTACTGTAAATCAATGGTGCACCAGCAATGATTATGGGCCCCATGCTTTATCCATCTCAAGATCCGCCTCCGCACCTCAGGATCTGGCGCAGGGGGAGAGCTTTGCGGAGTGCACCGCGGAGTGCTGCAGCAGGTGTCAATTCTTCACTTGCGGCTTGATCTTTTGGGTGGGAAAGTGGGGACATCAAAGATTGGCACCAAAGAGTTGGAGCAGAAATTCAGGGCGAGGGCTGGTGTGTTTTCTGCTTTGCGCGCCGTTTTCTTTGGGACTTTCTTTGGGATCTTTACACCTGGCCCCACACCAATCCACCGATGAAGCGACCCAAGACATCAAACAAAGGCACTGCAATACGTGGGCGGCTTCCGCGGCCGGAACCCACGGGGCCTCGCCGTCGGCCCAAGCGGTTTCGGGTCTCGCTCTTCACGACCTTCCGGACCCGCAGCGGGTTTCATGGCCAAATGGCCGTAGAGGATCAGCTGGAGCCCCACGGAGTGAGATGGAAACTCAAGATCCACCCGACCAAATACACAACGTATTTGAAGTAGGTGGGGGCGGGCAGTTCAAATACTTCTTCAAATACGTCGAAAGTGTAAAGTCAAGTCGGGTCAGTTGGGTGGAATCTCACTGTGTACACGGGAAAATGCGGGCATGAGTTGGCAAGTCGCAGAGTCGTAGATCAGGGACTCCATCCATAACCCCATGAATCCCAGATTTTTCACATGTTTTGCAACCTGTGATTGAAAAACCCTTCCGGAATCAAGCACCCTAGTACCAAAACGTTGAGAGGTTCCCTCAAATTTGACCTCATTTGTAAAAGTTTGGGATTCCAGTTTCGCAGACACCGCACCCCGGGCCCTCCGCTTTGCCAAGGCAACAGCACGACAGCCTTTTGGACTGGGACTGGGGCTGGGTGAAGTCCAGAAGGGTTGCCAGGTGTTTTGCTGGGTTACTGTATCCTTCTGTTCTTGTTTATTGAAGGGTTCCTGGGTGGCTCCCGAAAACTGGGAGAGATTAGCTTCATGATTGTTCTGCAGCTCCCGGGAGCCGCAAATCCTAGGTTGACAACATTTCTGTCCGCATGGCATGTGAAAGCCACCTACTAAAGAACTGGCAGGAAGGAAGGAAGGAAGGCAGGAAGGAAGAAAGGAAGCGAGAGAGAGAGAGAGAGAATAAACAAAGAGGTATGAAACGTATATAATTAGATGAACACACCGTGACTCTTGTGACACTTGTGATTGGCGCCATCCTAATCTTGAGAACTATGCCGTGGCGTATGTGGCGTGTGGATTAGGCGGCAGATATCCTGGTAGACTATCTTGTTCGTCAGTGGGGCTTTAACATTCGATGCCCCGTGGTGAGGAACAAGGAGCTTACCCATGGACAAATCACCCCTCCAAAAAGCACACAATGCACAGCGGGTTTTGACCATCGCCAGTCACCAATGTTGAAATTCCATGATATTCCGGTATTTTAGCTTGTACGTGATGCATCCTTGAAGGAAAAGCCTGCAAGTGAAGCTCATTTGCCTACAATTGATGACTCATGACAGCTTTTGAACTCCTGTAGCTCCATTCCGACCACTCATTAGCCAATAATTGCTTGAGCCAGGTTTTGAACATTTGTGCGTCAAGTGGGCCGCAGGCAGGGTTTGCTTCAGCTACGTAGACTTCCGGCGTGTTTTATATCGAAGGAACTCACCCAAACGGGTTGCTCCGACTGGCCGACGAAAAAGCCAGCGCCAGCCGAATGCCCAGGTGCTGAAGCCGAATGCCAAGCTCTTGCATGGCTTTTCACAGGCGCAGTGCTGCGAAGCGATGCCTCAAGTCCATTGGAGAGCAGCCCCTTGGATGTGTGGATTGTTTGGCATTTCTAGCTGCTCGTAGCGAGGTGACCGTGGATGGATATAGTCTAGCACTTTGTGCCTACAGAGAACCCAAGATCAGACATGCCATGCCATGCCATGTCCATACTCAGTTGCTTGACTTGAAGACTGTTACAGCTTTTGCTCAGGAAGAATGGCCCAATGTGAATTGCCCCACTGAGTGTGGCTTACAAACGATGCATCTCGGCTCGTTCATGTAAAGGATTCTGAGAATGTGAAGCTGGGTAAATTAAGTGAGTCTACGGTAAGTACTTTTATATGAGCCGCATTTGCGGTCTCAGGCTCGCTCCGTCTGCCACATGTTTGGTCCCCGTGATAGTGTGTAAGTGTTGTGTGGCCCGCGAAACTAGCCTGCCACAGAACGTGCTCGTGACTCGAGCGTGTGAGAGAATAAAAGTACTTTTAAGCCCACTACCTCAAGGGCCCTGTCGCCTGTTGAACATGAGTCCCTGGAGCATCCTGTGAGGACTCAGACGCGCCGAGTTGTTTGCTGGGACGTGGCAAACCAAGTGGAAGCAGACCCTTGGCCTCATTCACCCTGGCGTATTCTCCACCAGCGGTAAACAGGCTTGAAATGCACGGGAGGGCCCTGATGATGGGTTTTTGATCACCTACACTTAGGGCCAAGTGCTGAATGTTTTGGAACATCCACGTTAAGGTACTCCTCTGATCGATGAAGACCTTCCCCCCACCCCCAGTTGCATGTCGTGCAGCGTTCTTTGGTCATGTCCTTCCCACCCGCATCCAAAGTCGTCGAACCGCTAGCCACCCGCGCGTAGACCCCCGAAATAATCATCGAAGTGGAAAACCACCTGTTTGTCGAGGAACATGGTCACCCAAGGTTTTTCAAGGGCCCATATACTACTTCCATGATTGTTCCCGCAAGTGCAAAAACCACGCGCTAAGGAGGAGTCGCTGTGCACAAGCACGAAGCCCTCGTCCTTCCGCGTGAGCTGCCCAGCAACGCCCAGCTGCAGGAGCTGCCAGGCTCCGTCGGCTTGCGATCTGAGGGAGTCCTGCCCAGTCAGTTGACAACGTTTAGCCTTTTTGGGGGATTGGTTCCCCCGTGTTTTCCCCACAAGAACAGGTAGTAGAAATCTTGATCTTCCAGGGACAGTGATGGGGGGTCAGGAGTGAAGGGACGTGAAGGGAGGGAAGGTGGATTTGTTTGGTGGAGCCTCATCGGACTCAAATACGGACAGCATGTTGGCGATGTTGTCAGAAGCCATGAGGCTTCATTGCAGGAACAACTTGGATGTGGACAGCTGGGCATGGAGGAAAAATAGATGAGGATGAGTCAGGGACGAAGCGGGGAACCCCACGAACGAGCTGGATGGGTAAGTCGGTAAGTTGGATAAGATTGGATAAGTCTAGCAGGGGTTCCTGTTCCCTTGTCTCAAGGTCATTCTTGGTGAGGTGGGATTGGATGACTTGCATGAATCAAGGCATTTATATACGAGCAAATCTAGTGGTGCCTCCTCTCACTTGCATTCTCCCAGTTGTCATCCCACTTTCCTCTCACCAGTTTGCAACACGCCCACCTATCCAGGGTTTGTGTCGGCATTTCCAAGTGAAATATACATGTTATATAGAATTTATTGTGCCATTTTGTGTCTACCTTTTCAGATGGCCTTCACTCCAGAATTGGGAAGAAGGTTCAGAAGTGGTCGATGAACTCCCCGCAGCGCCCGATATTTCGCCAGGCCACCAAGTGCCCAAACGGATTCACAGCAAAGGCGGATGCTCCAGAGATTTGCACAGGCCATTTCAAAGGGTTTGGGATTACTGGCTAGAGAGAGCTTTCTGGTTTTGACACCTGATCAAGACTTTCCCTGGCTCCACTGTGATGAACCTTTGATCTCTACCATGTTTTTGGAGTGGGTATATGCATACCAGCCTCCAACAGCTCATTGGTTGAGGGTTGTTGGACCCTACAAGGTCTCAATTGGATTCAATTGATCATACAGAAGTCCTGCCTACAGCCTATCTACCTATAATTACCTGCCAGGACTCACAAAGGAATGCTTATGGAGGTTAGGGGTGCCCATTATCCACTCACTTAGGGACCAAATACCACCCCTTGGTCCTGGTGTATATAGATCGTATGCTGGACTTGGACACCGGTTTCTCCGCTTGTTCCTCCGGCGCACAGGCGCCACGTGCCTCCCAGAGGAGTGCTGCAACCGCGTGTGCTCCGTCGGGGACTGCCCTGCTGGATGGGTGTTGAAGGCCAATGCGACCTGTGGACGCTGAGCAATGAGCCAGGAAGCACCTGGTGAAGGGTAGACCTCTTTCCATTCTCTTTCCATCAGGTAATTTGGTCGACCTCTTTCACCCTCTTGGAAGGGTGTCTTCCAAAAGCATTCCATTCCGGTTTTTTGGGTTAAAAGCAGGCCGCCCCTAGTACGCAGCTCTATACTCACCTGGAAGCCACCTCTGGTCGATTTCCGTCGATCGACTCGTCCGAAGACTCCCCAGTGACCCACCAGGACGGGCCGTTCGTGTGGTTTCACCGCGGGGGCCGGAGACTGTCGAGCAGGACTCCTCCGACCCCCGGCCCCCCGTGATTCGATACTTTTCTGACGCAGAAGCAACGGTCTTTGTTCCCTTTTTTCCCATGGCATCGCCACCAGCGGTGAGTTGGTCGCAGTCGGAAAAGGTGCCAGAGGCATTTTTGCGAATGGATGTGACTACTGCAGTAAGGAACACACATCAAAGTCCTGTTCTGTGAGGTCATTTGCCACTTCATGCTTAGGACTTGAATACTCCACACCAGGACTTGCACTCGCGAAGCTGTTGTTGGAATGGAAGTCCCCAGTGCCACCAGCTCACTGTGACAAGGCGAGACTATCACTCAGAGCGAGGACTTCTCACCTCCCAGGTGTTGGTGTTAGAGATCCCACCGAACCTTCGTCCGAGCCAAGCGAATGGCTGAGGAAGTGCAACTTGCACACGGCAACTTGGCAGTTGAACCATGTTGAACCTGTCCTCAAGCGTGAAACTAGTTGATCCAAATGTCATATGCGCCGTACTTCTAGAACATGTAGCAGCAGAGCGCACGGAGACCTGGGGGCAGCCTTCAAACGCAAGAAGTGGGAGGATGCCAACTCGTTGTTCGAGCGCACTGGCGCTGCTGCCTTTGCTCGCGATCTGCCAGGGGCGACTGCTGCAGTGTCACCCAGTGGAGCTTCAATGAATGGACGGACGTGATGTGCGACTCCAGCTGTGGGCAGCCGGAACAGAGCCTCGCGGGTGGTGCAGTCGAAGGGGATTGGTCATGATCGGTCGAGTGCTCCGAGTGAACGGTGTCCCCTGCTCCGATTGAAGGTGCCACTGCCAAGCCGGAACCGGTCATGGGATGTGATGGGTGCCACAGACGGAAGTGACAGGGTACGGGAAAGATCCGATTGTTGAAGAGATCAGCGAGGAGAGAAGAGTCCCAATAGCCATTGACCAATAGAATTGTTGTTGGAGGGTTTTAGGACCGAACTGGGGGTATAACCGGGGTTATATGTTTGTTCTCTGTTTTTGAGCCTTGCCTGTGGGCAACAAATAGGTTCATAAGGCAAGTGCAAGAGGGGCCCTCACAGTGTCAAGTTGTAAACTCTCAGGGGTGCACCTATTGCGGAAGAGGAGCTCAAGTTCCAAGTGTTGTATTGGCATTTAATTGGATACTACTTGTAAAGAGAGTCAGCCATGAAGGCACATTTTGCTGGACAAACTGGTGGAAGCGCAATTAATATCGAGAACACACACTCACATGTTGCTGCCTCCAGTGGGGTTCTGTGCGGGGTTCGGCCTCCGTCCCACCCAGGATCGAGACGCGTTTGGTGCGCTGTCGGGTGGAGGGAATGGTGCAGGCCCCGGATCTGCCTGAGTGTTTTCTGATTCAAGCAACGATGTTTTGAAGCTTCAAGCAAGGAACATACTGAAATTCGTTGGGCGGGAGTCTTTGACAAACTGCCGGTGACTGGAACTGTGGGTCGCTCATTCTGGCCGATGTGCCCCCAGTGACCTCGCTGATATTTGGATCATTTTGGATCGTCCAACACACTGGTCAACCGAGGATGGCAAAGGTGATGTAAAGGGTAAAGCCTCGCGGTCTACATGTTTCTGTATTTTGTACTCATCCGCCGAGCATCAACTGCCGTCCACTCAGTTCGGGCGCTGTGAAAACACGATGCCCACATGCAAAAATTCACGTGAGGCTTTTGTTCATTAATTGAACATATCCGGTGCCCACCACATCACGCCTGATGGGGCTGTGGCCCATTGGTGCAACGAATGGGCGGTGGAGCCTTCCGATCCACCCATATAATATCCACCCCTAGCACTGCATGACTCCAATGATCTCTTGACAAGCTCCAAAACTCCCACCAAAGAAGTCTCTGATCCCATCAGCCCGGGCCCAGATGTGACCGGGCTGCTACCAAAAGCTTGAGTTACTCATCCAAGACTTTGGCTCCAGCCTCTTAATAAAAAGCACACTTTTGAGTTCTTTAACATTCTTTAACCAAGGGGTATCCCAAGAGTTACCTTTGGGAGCAAATTCTTGATCAAAGCAACTTGCATTTAGGGTTCCCTCTGGAGCTGTTTAAATAAGGAAGATGGGTGGATAACGGTTTCTTAATCGTGAGTTATCAACAGGCGGGCCACAGCCTGTACCCATCTTAGCCCATCACAGACACCTCCCCAAAAACATCTCAAAACCAACCTTGTTTAAATCCCTATCTGAAACATCCCCAAACAGCTTTTTTTTTTACAAACCTTTAGGCCAACCATGGGCGTGCATCTTTTGGACCCACCTTCCATCCGCGACCCGTCCCCACCCCCACCCGCACCGGTGCCACCCACCCCCCAGGGCGACGTCTCCTTCGTGCGCGATGACGCCTGCGTCGCCCCGAAGCCGGTGACCTCGAGGGTCGGCCCGGCGCTGTGGTTCCGGGGTGCAGCGGGCCGGAGCCGCCGCCGGGGGCGATGAGCGTCGCGGAGCGCTCCGCGCGGAGGGTCGCGGAGGATCTGGGTGGGTGAGCCTGAAGAGAAGACGTGGGGCGAAGTAGAGACATGGGATGGGCGAAGTAGATGGCTCCGTGAAAAGGGTGAGGAAGATGAGAACCGCCTTTACCTTTTGGCCCAAGAGGATGCGCCAGTTTCTATCCGAGGAGGGCACACTCTAGGACTCTAGGCTTTTGGGCACTCCTGGTCATGGTGCATCAGTGCAGACGGCAACCCCAGGTGTATAGAACTCGACATGTTGGTGTTGGCCAGCGTCATTGCATGTCATTGCCATTGCTGCGTAGAATTCTTCAGTCCTTCATGTGCTTCTGAGATTCTGACAATTATTGACTAGGACTGTATGGGATGTCCAGAATTTAGAGATTTCAAAAACTCAGAAGGGTATGTTAGGTTCATATCAGTGGAATTTGGAGGTTGGTTTCCCCACCACCATTTTCATTGGCTTAATGTCATCCCTGTCATGTTGGTGTTGCAAGGTTCCTTCTCAAAAGGCATGTGCAAAGGCCACATGCCTCATCAATAGAACTCAGCAGGCCTTTGTGAGCTTTTTTGCGGCAGCCTCGATCTGATCAGACTTTAGAAACTAGAATGTACTAGAATAATACAGTAGGTGACAATACTAGCAACAGGCAAACTGCATGAAGCTGGAAGGTCTTATAAGCTTGTAACTTGGTACCATCACCATCTCACTAATAATATCCATGCAATGGTGCTCAATGGATCGCACAGACGAAGCCGAATACTATGGAATGATATGGAATGCAGAGAAATCCCACGAGCTCATCATCCACTGCCATGGCAACACATTTGACTTTGCACTTGCAATGCAATCACCCATCAATGCCCTTCATGGAGCACAATTGTGCAAGGCCCAGATCCATTCGCCAATCTCAAGAACCTTTGTTCTCCCACCTGCCCATGGTGTGGCTGCGCTTGGCTGCTCTCGCGCCCGCGTGGCGCGCCGCGGCCGAGCCCGCCACGGTGGCGCCGCCCTTCGGGGAGGCGGCGCAGTGGGCGGCGAAGCAGATCCCTGAGGTGGGAGCGTAGGAGGGTAGGGGGGCCCGGTTCATGGGTACCATCTCCTGCAGATCAACGTGGATCCTCCAAAACCACTGGCTTAGTAGAGGAGACGAGTGTACGGGTACTATAGTTTGCAGGGGGGGTTGTCCGGGTATGTGTGAATAGTTGTGCCCCAACAAGTGTCAGGATTTTTCGATTCAACAACTTTTAATCTTCATGCTCCTATATATGAATGTATGTAATATATATATATATATACTAGACTTATATATATATATATACACATTGTGTGGTGTATTTGTTCTCTTGACCAGAAGGTGTTGGCTGCTTTTGTTTACAGGATTTCCCTTGTTGCTTTGCACATGATTCGGCCTTGATTGCAGTACCTGGGCCTGGGCAGTATCCTTATCCAAAGTCAGAATATGATTTGGAACCATCTAACTAACCAACCACCCTAGTGGGGAATGACAAGCTGATAGTATCCCCACATATCCCCCACCCTAGTGGGATCTAGTGGGGAATGATAAGCTGATAGTATCCCCACATATCTAGATAATCAAGGACGAAGAAACGTACAAGAAGAGTCTGCTTGGCATCGCGGCCGGTAGGGACATCTAGATACCTTAAGACGATTAATTTCCTCATTCCCGGAGGACGTCCATCAGTGAGTAACAATCGTTCTCCCTGTGCTTTTGCAGAAGTGGCCTGCAGACACAGGCCTGCGATGGGCCGGATGGTGGCTGCCAGGTGGTGACCTGGCGGATGCCGAAAGCATCCAAATAGGGGAAATAGGGAGGGGCTGGGTGACGGCAGGCGCCACCAAATTCCGATAAACATATTCTACACCAACAGATCCCAAGATCAACTTAATAACATAGTTCGTGCAACTATCACAGGAGGTGCTTTGAAGCTTTGAGGACTCCTCCAACTGCAGGTGGTTGGGAGGGCAGCGAGACTCGCTGGTGGAACGTGGGAGCCGACCGGGTCTAGTCACGGACTTGGCATGCATTATGGAAAAGACGTTGGAGACAAGGATGATTTTGCACTAGTAACTAGTATGAGTTTCCTGACTGACATGCCCCAGACCAGTCTCATTTGCGCCTCTTTCAGGGATCCACTCACCTGCAAACAAGAAGTAGCACCCTTGAAAGGAGGATTTAGTGAGATGACAGCTTAGAATCAAAACAAGAAAACAGCAAAACAGAAGATGACAAACCAGACCCTTTTTCTTCATACCCTTTTTGTTGGGTGGGGCCCAGGTCACACATCTGCACCGTGGCCGCTTCAGGACTGGGACCAGGTCGCCGCGACGTGGCGCTACGCCTGGCGCCTCGGGCGCAATACAGCTCGGCTGGACCGTCCGGCCGAGCGCGCCGCGCCAGGCGTAGCGGGGCCAAGTGGAGAAGCATATGGGTTATGTACAACATATGCTTCTGACCATAGGTAGCGTAGCGGGGGTGGTCATATGCCAAGTGTACCCCCTATAACCCTTGCATCTGACAGCATTGCCCTCCACCTCTAACAGGTTTACATAGTTTAGCAGTTCCATGCTGTTCCCGGGGGGGTGCTGCTTGAAATATTTCAGTTGGACGGGGCCCTCCTGCTTGGGGGAGGGTATGTTTTTATCAGTTGAGCATTGAAACAAGCATTGCATTAGCAGCATTGCATTTCCCTGTTGACCTTCTATATTGGGTGTTAGATAGGGAGACCTCCTGGAAGAAGGGAAATAGACCCAAACCTGTTGGTTGGGGGTCTTCCTTTGAGAATTGCATGCGTGCCCATGTGGTGTTGTCACTTTGTATTTGCTGCCTGCCTCAGATCGGTGCCACCACCGGACATCTTGGATCGCGTCGTGCGATCATTGGCAATCATCAAGCAAAATGCCCTTGTGCCTTCTCGTTGCAGCGTATTTATCATAGGTAGATTGCTAGATAGATGATTGGCACATTGCACTGTGGTTTTACGTCTTATAGGTCGCCTGGGCAGGTGACCGACAGCCTGGTACGTCGTGACGGACGTCCTGAGATACGTCTTCTTTTTGCTGAAATTGTTACTGTAACTAAGGAACAACTTGCGACTAAGCCTTCAACATGCCGCAGCGAAGCACCGTCTCCGTTTAGACCCCGGGGAAGTTCAGCGGCTGGTGGCGGTGCACGAATTTATGTACTGGCTTGGCGAGGAATGGCAGCTGATGTTGTGAAGTCTTGCACATGTCACATGTTACATTGATGAACATTCTGAAACATGTGGCGGTCACATGTATGCACCGTCAGCATGCGGGTGTCTTTCGGCAGACTGGTTTCCGGCAGCAAGACCCATTGTTTTCAATATGGCGAAGCCAATGTAGATCATGAGCGCCGAGAGTTTGCAAGCCGATGGTTTTGATGTCAATACTTGCACCCTTCTCGGGCATTCCAACACCAACGTCCTTGTTGGGTGGTTTTGTCTTTCCGTTGATCAGACAGATTTGAGGTCCAAGGCTTGTTTGTCGCAGGGCTTCCGCATCAAACCAAGGTGACTGAAAGGTGATGTGAAATGATGTGAACATAGTAGGATATGATATGTTCTTTCCATCCCTGCGTATCCGTGAGATCCCGAAGTTGCGCAGGGTAGTCCAGCCAGGAGGCTCTGAACTGATGCTCCTGGTTCCTGTCATCCGTGACAGGACAAGAAGAAATGGCAGGTGGGTTGGGATGAAATGAGTGGTGCCGCGCGGGCGCTACTGCGTGCCCTGCAGCTGTGGCTGGTATCTGGCGAGTACCAGCGTCCCGGAAGCGGCCAGATTCGGGGGCGTGGAACACAGATAAGTGTGGTGAGGGTCACAGGTCACGAGATTGGGAGTGGCGTATGACCGTGATGTGAGCCCACCAGATAGATATGGATCACCGACACCTACCACCATGAAATGCATGAACCACGGGATGTTCGGGGATATTGGATCATACATGTTTCAAAGGAGAGTGTGCATTTTCTGGTTTCACCGGTTAACTGGCCAAATGGCTGCAAAAACGGTCAGAATGCTGCTACTACCCCCGTACCTCCTTTCGGTCCCAAAGGCTCCACTGGCGTAGGTGAGAATGCCTGACAGCCCAATTAAGAGCGTTCTACACACAGAACCTCTGGAGTACTGTATGTGGTTTGAAAGGAGAACATGCATGGGTGAGAAAAGCTCACTAGCTTGGGTATTGGTATTGTTGAAAGTATCACACGCATCTAAGCATGGAGTGAACTTTTAACGAAGTCTATTTGATCTTATTGTTTCTAGACATCGCGTGCAACTGCTCCAAAACCAAACACCGACTTCACACTGTTAGGCTGGGCCGTTGAATACAAAGTGTGTATAATATATATATATATAAAACTGAACTCTTTTTGTGTGCTCATAACATGGTAAGCGCTTCTTTCTTCATGCTAGATCCCTCCCTCACCCTGCACCGGAAAAACCAAGCTGTGCCGCTCATCTCCACCATGCACCTTCACATGCCCCAGCGCGCGCGCGCACCCGCTCGCGCGTCGGGTCCGCGATACGCGCCACGAGCGTCACTCGAGGTGGGGCTCCCCGGTCACCCTCCTGCGCGCGAACCACGGCCTGCACTTGCCCTTCCCACAGCGCTCGGCCCCTCGGACGGTGGGAGGCTAGAGGCTGGAAGAGTCTGGAAGGTTGGTAGGGATGGGGGCAAGAGAAAGCCTGATTCCAGCAGCAAGCACATATTTTTTTGGGGTGACTGTTTATCTCCAGAGCGAGTACTGGAAGAACTGTCTCAAACTCTTGGCTAAACATTGCGGAGCTCGGGAACTCAACCGACCAATGCTCCCCAAGTCTGACCATCGCAAGTCTGGAAATGTCCCTGATACAAGAGAGGGCCATGGCTTGGGCACACGAGCGGTGAAGAAAACAAACAGTCTTTCCAGCGGTCATCAACGTTCATGCGATCTGTTCCTCAGAGGGTGAAATGGAAGTTGAGCTTTGCCCCTGTCACAGGGGTACTAATCCGTCTGCCCCATCTTTTCAAGAACATTCATGATGATTCAGCGCTAAGCTGCTTGATTGGACAAGACCCCAGCCCACCAAGGGCTTTGTGATGTCCACTGCGTTGGGCTCCACACGTTTCGACGGACCTGCGGGGGTGAGGTCTTGGTACCAACAGATGGCGACCTAGAGACACAAATGAGCCTGATGAATGGACGCTTGGCTGATGCAAATCAGCAGGATGGTAGTGGCATCAAGGGGTTGAATAGCGGGAAATGTGTGACCTGATGTGAACTATCAAAGCGAGAATTGAAGTAATGAGAACATGATTTACTGATTTACTTCTTATTTCAAAAAGTTCTTGCAAGATGATGGTTGAACCTCCCGATCTTGATGTTTTACCCCGTGGAAGATCATTGGTTCTTTGGCACACCTTTTTGAGGTCTTGACTGGCGTTCGACTTGTTCAGGCTCCCCTTGCCATGCATCAGACTGCATTTGAGGACTTCAGATGCCCTTGCTGATCTATCGGCTTGGCCCTGTTTGGGAGTTCCCCTTCAAGACCAAGATCTATGAAAAGGTGCGAGAAGCACTTCAGCTCGGCTATCGAAGCTCGGTGTTGGGCAGGTCTCCGGAGTCTCCAGGAGTCTCCAGGAGCTCACGTTCATAGCTTCTTGTTAGTAGCAATGCCAGGAGCTCCTGGTAGCTTCGTGCTACTAGTAGTGCTACTAGTAACTAATGCCCTTCTTACTAGGTATTGTTGAGTCATTTGGCTGTGGGTCCATGAGTTCACACCGGTCGACCGGGGGACCGACCTGGCCGACCTAGCAGTAGCAGCTACATGGTGGACTGGTCGGGCTCCAGGGCGAAGATGACCCATCCCCATGTCGTGATGACTGAAGCTGTGCTCACCGAGTTAGTAAGGCATAGTAAGACCCCCTCACGAGCTCTAAAGAGCTATGGGTGGATCCTCAGGCAGCTTGGAACTGATCGGGCAAAACCATGGAAAGGGTTCAAACCTTTGTCCAGAGGTCATATTAATTGGTTTGGGGGGATGTGACATGTCGACTGGATTGCATGGTTCGGTGATTATTGGACAGAACCCGCAGCCAAAATATGGCCGTTTAGATCTTTTTAGGTTGTGGTCCCGTGCCAGAGCAAAAGGGTCTCCAAAAAATTGATTCGGGCAGGGCATTCCAATTCTCACTGGATTGTTCTACAGGAACCTCTACAATGACAACCTTGGCCCATTCTTTTTGCAGAGAGCCGTTTGTTTTGGACAAGTCTAGACAAACCACGCTGAGGTGCTGAAGACACAAACCACGCCGTATCAGTGATGGCCAGCTCCACCGTTAGAGTCAGAGAGAGATGCCGATGCCCGAGCTCCTGAGGGCATTTGGACTTCTCCGAGCACTATGGAGCTGAGAAGGAGGTCGTCCGAGCCATCCAAGATTCAGGCACAGCAAGTAACGCACTGCTTGGAGCTTTGGGGAATGCTATCGAATGCCTAAGTGATGTACCAGTCAGTATCCAGTCAGTATGACATTTTGCGTGTGCACACTGTAGTGTAGGAATGTGGGATCCCCCCCACAGACTTCCTGACAAAAAGACTAATTATATAATATGACTACACTATATTATAGAACCCCCACTGTCCAGAACAAACTGGTATTGACGCTGCCTTTGTTGCGGAGTGGTGTGGGAAGCTGATGAGATGAGCAGATAAAGCGAGCAGCTGCATGCAAGAAAGGATGAGACGCTTCATGTTAGCGTGTCCTAGCTGTCCTTGCGGACTGGCCCTGCTTCAAAAGTGAAAGGATATATATATATATATACACCACTGAAGTTCTAAGTTCCTTGCTTCAACGAGTCCTTACTCAACAAGTCCCCGAATGGTCACGCTTTGGGGTGGCTGTGTGCCCTGCAATTGGGCCCTGCAACAGCCTGGGCCCTGCGCTCCGCATCGCAGGAGTGCCCAGGGAAGCGCTGTTCCTGGCGGGCAAGCTGAGCGCAGCGGATCACTATCCCTTGGGTGCCCTGCGCGCCGTGCAGCAGCCACTCGGTGGGCAAGCTGAGCGGCAGGGCCGACTGTGTGGACCGTGAAAACAGCGGGGGTGAAGTGAAGGGGGCTGTTGCTTGGGGTTCTTTTTTGAGTCGTGTGAATGAAGGGTGAGGGCATGTCAGCCTAGGATGGTGAAACTGTGGAAGTCAAGAGGCCCACAGCTAAACGTCGAAGCTGAGAAGTTCCTTCTTTGGATTACGTCCAAGTTGCTCACTTGAAGATGTTTGTTCGCAAGGGCAGAGGTGTTTCAGGGATTTCAGCAAGCAAAGGAGGTTAATTACCAATGGTTGGCAGGTCGTCGCCAAATCTGGCGGAACTCCTCGTCCCCTCAACCACCACTGTTCGCGTTCTTCCGGACCTTCTTCCGGACCGACTGGTGCTGCTTGCAGATCTGCCGACTTCCCTCAGGCAGATGAAGCATTTGGACCTGACCTACCTGGACCTTTTCATGCTCACCAAACCCATTTATGATCCAGCCGTGCTGCGGGCAGCACCTCGGTGACCACACAGAGCTCGGCTCTAAGCTCTTTTCGCAACAACTGCACGGGAGGGACGAAGGGGTAGACCGGACAGGGCGGCCTTTAAGGGTCCGGTGACTAGGTGACTTGAAGATTTGTGTTTGTCATGTTTTTCTGGTTCCGGACGCTTTGTTTGTTGGTCTTTTTTTGGGAGGGGGTTGTAAAATGAATCTGCCAGCAGGTTTTTATTTTGGCAGGAGCAGGTCCCAAAGTACCTACATTGAGCAAGCGCGCCAGAATAGTATACGAGGAAACGACACGATGATCATGGATGACATCACATGTTTCGACAGGGGCATGCTGATTCAGGGGTGCTGGATACGGACCATGCAACTGTCAGTACCGACCGGATCCCGATGAAACTGAGAGCTCTTCAGCCACCGGATCCAGAAACTGAAAGGAATCGTGCGCATGGATGCGGCTTCGGAAGGGAACCTACAGAGATGAATAAGCATACCACGGAACGTTATATAGATTTATACTATAGATGCAAAACCCTTGAAAGACGCCAAGAGGAAAAGAGCCGATAACGCTGTTTTTTGGATGGTTTTAGTAGTGGCAAAGTATATGGGGGTATCTCTATATTTGTCATTCATGGCCACTCCATCCAGTTGGTCAGTCCTTTTAGCAGGGGTTGGGGGTCGAGCCAATACCAATCGGCTCGGAGGGTTTCAAGGGTTGCTTAGATGATCGGTTTGACACTCATTTATTATACGGAAGGTTCTTCAAGGAAATTGCAGAAAAAAGTTAGTCACTGAGTCACTAGTCACTACTGAGAAAGCTCTTGAACATTATAAGAGGTCATCCTGCTGGCTTTCCTGTAGAGACATCCTATCGGAAAGGGTCCATTTGGATCATACACAGTTATATAGAAGGAAGGATTACATCATTGGAAGCGTCACTGCCAGCAGGTGCCGACAGAAAGATCAAACATGTGACATGTCCGACAGCGCATGAGGTTTGGGAAATCCTGGAGAGCTACCATCATCGGGGCATTTTCCGATCGCTGGGCGTGAGTAACTTTGACTTGGCGGCCTTGGCAGCAACTTCATAGCCAGTTCCAAGTGTGTTTGGCGATGTTTTGCCAGCTGTGGTTTGGTGGATATTGGAATGTAGATGGGTAGAATATAGGTGTGCCACGGACTAATCACGGACTCACAAGAAAAGATGTAACCAAGTGCCACTTGCAGTTTCTTGAGCAACTCAGAGGTCAGAGGCACCTCAGACATTATAGGTTCTGAAATGGGCTGGAGTGCTTTCGTAACTGTTTAATGAGTCACGTGATCACCTTGGCAGTGTATTTTGCCTTGGAACGTGGCTGGAGGGGCAACAGGTTGCACTTTGCACATGAAACTCATTTTGCCGAAGTCCTTTGTTTCCTCCCACTGGGTGAGTTTAATTGGACCCTCTGTGTGTGAATTCAATCTTTCAATTGGCTTTGGCACATGGTGGTAGAGGAGTCGAGGAGGTCATATTATTCGTGGAGTCTGAATGTTTGGTCTTGTGGGAAGGGTGCTCCAAACTTTCTGGTCAAAACAACCGCAAACAGACATTCTTTAGTTGGTTTCATTCAACATTTTGCTGCTGGTTGCTATTTGCATGATGACCAAGATGACTACCCATCACAGAACGGCTGTGTAGGTAAAAGGATCTTCTGCCCGGCCATGGGCTCAATATAGGTGCGTGCTTGGTTGCATGCACTATGCCCTCAAGGGGGATAGCGCGTCTCTAAAGGGCTTGCCGCCCGAGCGAACTTGGCCCAGGTATCCCTGGAGCTGTTGGAGCAAGTGGCCAAAGTACCACCAGTTTACCTGCAGAATCGGTCACTGGTCTTTTCTGTTTTCTATTTTTGTGATGGATGGAGTGATCAGGAGAAGGAAAGGCATTGGTCCGATCTATCCTCAACTTCGGACCTGGAGCAGGATCCTGGGTCTTTAGCTACTTCCCGTTGTCAGTTGTTGAGCTGGCACTTGACCCCAAGAGCTTTGCAAAGGGTTTCAACGGCCAGTCAAGAAGCCAGAAAGGTTGAACTGTACTCCTTCTCCCAGCCACGAAGTTATTGGAACCTGATATGCCATGCACGGTGCCATGCACGGTCGGTGCCATGCACGACGCCAAGCTTCCAGCTGGTTCTAGACACTATTGTATATAGCTGGAAACTGATACGTGCACCCTCAACTGCCCACTGGAGGTTCTCCCTCTATGATGTGCAGGGCTTCGAGGCAGGGGTGCTGGACCCGGCCGGTGTGCATGAGAACCCTTTCGACCCCTAAGGAGGAACAATCAACTAAGACATACTAATCAATTGGCAGAGCCTGGCTGGGCGGCCTCAGTACAAATGGACACTCCAATGCGGGTTGATAGGTGGTAGGTCTTCCAGCAATTGTCGAACGCAGAGGTACCAGAAGAGGCGTTCTGCGACCAAAACTGGAAGCCTCAAGCTGTGATTTCGTAAAAGGCTTTCTGAACAGAAGATCACAGCTTTCGAGGTTTGTGCCAAGGCTCCACTTTGGCAGTGAGCTTTGCCGCTGAGTTTTTGCCATAGCTGCAGGGTGGTGATTTCTGTGTTCAGCATGCGTGCTGTTGCCTTTCAACTAATTATATATATTTTTTTTAATTTGATTGGGAAACTAGTTGGTGAACTGGGTCCATGCAGCTCTGTATAGGGACCCCCAGAATTGTGTGTGGATTTTGTGGTCGTTTTTAAAGCAGGGCCCCCGTGGAACACAGGTCCCATGGCCTCGTCAAAGCTTCATTTGCTGCATTGGCCAATTTGAGATTTGACCTGGTGCTCAATTCAGGGAAATAGCATTGGTGAGTCATGTATGAAGAGCGGTTTCGTTGGACCTCTCCAAAATTCAGCCTCAGGCTAATGTCTTTTCGCCAACTCCTTTTCCGAGCGCAGAATCCCGAATATTTACTGCTTCACCATGCGTTTCTTCGAGGTCCTCGTGGCTGGGTTGGTGTTCATGGCGCGTCCGACGCTGTTCGGACGGTTCAGGCCTTGGCCTGGGCCAAGCGCCGCGGCCTGGCGATGGCCGCACGCTTGGAGCAGAGCCTGTTGTCGCCCTGGGAGGAACTGACGGAGTGAGAGAGAGAGGGGGGACCAAGACATACCAATACATTTAATGTAAAATATTTGGTTACTATGTATTTTTTTACGCGGCGCCGCCGAGAGAAAGCCCCTCCAGGGTCCCGGGGTGAATAGATTGGATTTGTAATTTTGACTAGCCTTTGACCAGATCATGGGGCGCTTTGGATTCAGATGGGACATGATTCGGGTGAGATATACAAAGTGCTTTCGCGGTTGCATCGTGCGAGTAGCAACTCTGACACGTATCAGATCAATGTTGCCTTTCAAACAAGTCTGAGTCTGCGAGACCACTAGGACATGAAGGAGTTTGGAAGAACAGTCAGTTTGCCAGAGTTCTATATTCCTGGGGTGGGCATGGGTGGGCGCCATTCTCCTGTGCAAAGAACTTGGGGTCATGATTTCGGTCATGATGCAGAGGCCCAAACAGTGGCTAGGAGGATCTAGGAGTGGTTCTTTCTACTTTTTGAGGAGCTATACCCATCAGCATCCATCAGCACTGGCTGAAATCCCAAAGATTCACTCATCCATAAACCAACCAACCAACTGCATGTTTGGAGTCAGAATCATCCGCAATAATTTTATATGCATATGTACAGTAAGTAGACCTACATTGTTATATATGTATATATATATACTACATATATTTGTATGCCTTCACCTGAGATTTGAGCCACGAGTCACGAGTCCTGTGCAGAAGCTCTCTCTCGGCAGCGCGCAGGATCCGCATGTGCTGAGCATCGCCAGGCGGGGGGGGGCTTTCGCATCGACTGAAGGTTTTGTGGTGCAGGGGCGGTAGCTCTCATGCACTTTCGCCACTGCATGTTATTCTTTTTGGCCATCATGAAACGAGAAGGCAAATCAAGATTGCACACAATTATCTCATAGATTCAGAACTGGATTGGTGTGAGAGGGTGGTGTGAACAGCTGATCGCGCTCTCGTTGCTGTGGGACTGTGGGGGTGCCTTACATATACAGTAAAGACACACCCATCTTGGAGTCGATTTGAGTCGAGGGCACAACAAGGCATCTCAAGTGCTTCAAGGCTACGTGGTGATGAACAGAGTTGGGTTTTATCCCACCGTCTACCGTGAGCATGTCCCGTTTTTACCTCACGGTAGCGTCTCGGAAACCTGGGTGTGAACATAACCAACTAAACGATGCGGGATCCAACCATACAGCACCAGACGTGGCATCCAAGATCTATGGGTTGGGAGGCAACCATACATGAACTGCAACCAGGGCCCTCTTTGTCCGAACACTTCTCCACACGTTGCAAACCTTCCCGCAGCAACCCTTTCCGATTCCGTCATGGCATGAGACGCGGCGTCGAGGAGATGGAATCGCAGCTCTCAAGAATTGCTTTCCCGTTGGCTCCTGCAGCTGGGCTGTGCCATCGTGGCTCCGGCGTCGGCGGCCGAGGCGTGCGCGCGTGCGCGGTGGTAGACCATTCGCAACTGGTTCAAAAGCAGGTTCCTTTGCCAAATGGCCGCAGTTGTGCTGCATCTCACGACGTTTGGCAGGGGTAGTGATTAGGATTAGGACGTACTCGGACACTGTGACCACCGCAGTTCAGGATGTCACGGGACATCCTTCAACACCAGCAGTGCAGCTGCAAGAGCTGTGAACTCGAGGTCCGTTGGTGGAGGAGGTCTCCTCCAGGAAAAAGCACGACATATCAAAACACCAGATAACGTTCCTAAGTAGCCGTGGCCTTCCTTCTCCCACCTGGTACGGGGAATTTCTTCCATCCGTTGAGTAGGCTGCATGAGCACCCTGAGATGTGACCCGGCGCGTGGGTTTTCAGAATGCCAGGACCATGCAGGCGCTTTAAGCTTCCAGATGCCCGAGGCCGGAAAGAACCGAACTCGGAGGTGACGTCACCAACGGAGTCTGGAGTGGCCACTTTTCCATGGATGGTCCACGAAATCGAATACTCTTCCATATAGATCTATATGCTATATAGGTGCTATATAAATAGGTGTTTATATAGATCTTCCATATAGGTGTTTATATACTATATTGATCTATATAGGTGTTTAGATGTGTTTAGGGTGGATGCTTTTCAGACCTCAAACCTTCGAGTCGCCAGTCTGACAGGATGATTACATTCTGATCGGTGCCTTGCAATCCCTGTGAGTGTGGTAGCTGGGCAGCCACCAGCCAGATTTGGGAGGATTCCAGGTGGAACTGGGAGGCCTCCGTATTTCAACGGACCTTTTTCCACTTGAGGCTGAAGGCCATTTGGGCCTCCACTGTCCCCCCTTGTTTTGCAGGAAGACATGCGCCAGCTGGGCGGCCTCATCTCTCTCAGCAGCTCAGTGCCTGGCGTGGGTCCGCCTAGCTGGATGGAGGACGTCTATGGCCTAGCACGATTTGGGCCACCAGCCGTGTTGGGTGTGACAGGTGCGAACGGCGCAGACGTGGGTTGGTGGACCGAGTAGGGGCTGTGTTGGAACATGTTTGAACTGTCATTCCAGAGCATTCGGTGATCATGAAGTGTTCCCAAAGAACGATTTCCAATACCAATACCTCTTTACACATGGGTTAGCACATGCTAGTACAAAAGGAATGCGGGTAAATGAAGTGAGTAATCCCGTCTGGAGTGGCATACGGGTAGCATGACATCTCCAAAGCCGCATGGTCTTGCAATGGTCCTTCAATCAAGCAAAGGGAGCGATCGAAAGCAAAGCTGACCCGTGTGCTTCCCCGGTGTTGGAAAACAAAAGTGGGGTGACAAAACAATTACCATAAGCATCCATAAGCGCCGCCGCGAGCAAATTCTAACACAATTAGATCCATGCTCGCAAGAGCTATATCAGTTTGTTAACTCCAGCGTTACTGCAAGTAGACCTTTACACGCAATTAGACCTTGACTTGATTCAACGGCCAAATTTGAGGCAACAAAAGTGAGAGTCAGAGTCATTTTTGCAAGCCTTTCTGATATATTTTATTTTAAAATTTAAATATGTAACTAAATATATACTTATACACCAATAATATATGTATCATCCACCATGGTGTCTTGTGAGTTGCTTCATCCGCCTGAGTATTCCCCCCGCCCCTGGCCGCAGATGCTGCCCCAGTCCCCGAGCTGCACGGCTTCTCGAAGCCCTTCGCCTACCGCGCGCCCGTTGCAAAAGAAAACGGCCGACCCGCGCGGCGCCAGCGCGGCTCCCGTGGGGGCGAGCCATTTGGGGGCCGTTTGGGTCGCTGGAGAAGTGTCCGGGTGCGGCTGAACGGACTTCTCCCCGGAGGAATAGTTACATGCAGCCGATGGAGGTGACATAGGATGATGCATCCATGCAATTACACCAAGGTAACTACTCCAGTGCCGTGGATGGTTTGGGGCCCCTGAACTGCGAGCTTTCACGGGGACTGGGCACCAAAGAATTCTTGAAAAACCTGGAAGGGACTGGACATTTTGGGGTCACATAGTGCATGATGGACCTCTTGAACATGTTGGAGAGCAGGGCAGGGTCACTAGTATTGGTTTCGTGATGTTGTATGTTTTTTGTGGTGGTTTGTTGTGAATTCAGTCGCCGTTTGTTTTAGCCGCCATCCAGCACGCAAAACAACGATTCAATAGAACACGCAATAATTTGCAGATTTGGAAGAACCTCCCGTATATGGCTTTAGGATGCTTCAGTTTTTTATGGCAACTCGGAAATAGTTTCGCCTAATTTCTTTTTGGACATGCTTTTGTGGTGGCCCTTCCCGGCCTTTGGTTTCAAGATGTCTTCCTTCCACCATGGACTCGAATGATGGAAATGCCAGGTGCGTTGCCCAGCCACCGCCCCCCTGCGCAGTGACGACCACCTCGAAGCCCCCGGCTCCGACAGCGACGCCGCACTGGGCCTATCCGGAATGGAGTTTTGGCTGCATTTTGAGATGGGGCATATGAAAGATACATATATATATATATGCATACATACATACATATATATATATATGTATATATATATATATCTACACACCTCCCCAGAACGTCAACCCATGTAAGTAAGTCCCATAAACCGCCACTTGGGAATTGAGCGGCGCACCATGCCGAAGTGCTGCCAGAAACATATATCACGCCCGCGCTGCGGATGCCTGGACAGTGAGTGCGTGCACGAGAGAGAGACAGAGCCAGAGAGGAAGATAAAAGGCCTTGGCTGATGACACCATCCACCGCCCGATGATGTGGCCAGGAGGTGTGGCAACGAAGGCTCGGAAAGCCTTCCTTGGTCCACGCTTCAGGTGCCGCTTGGAGGTGTGGCAAGGAGGTGTGGCGCTGGCATTGCTGCAATAGTAGTCCGCCTGCCACTGGGGTCCTGTGCAGGGATTTGATCTTGACGTCATGGGATGCCGTCATCCCTCTCACAAGCTGGAGCGAGGAGGAGAGTACGTGGCCTGCACTGGAGCGTGTTGAAAAAGCAGGAGGTTTGCGAGGTTGGCAAGCGGCGGGTGTCGGGTGTCACAGGCATAGGCTTACCACGGCCACAGCGCGGCAGTTGAGTCTCCGCCCACCCAGTTCCGCGGTGAAGCGCCACGGCAGGGAGTTGACTTGGAGGCATTTGTTCCTGAGACCGACGAGAGGACGAGAACAAGAGACAAAGAGAAAGAGAAAAGAGAAAAGATAAAGAGAGAGAGAGAGAGAGAGAGAGTGGCCAATGCTAATCACCTTTTTGAGAAACCGTTGGGAGTTGATAAGATCGCCCTATCAGCATAGCCATCCCACCCAGTGGTGCCAGTCGGTCCCCGTTCGCTCCGGGGTCCCAGGCTGAACAGATTGGAGCCACATCCATGTCCATGCTAACTTGCCCGCAGTTGCTTTAGGGAGGCTGACTGTTGCAGAAACCGAATTGACTGCCTTGGCTCCCAAGCACTCTGAGGCCTCCCCATGATATTGACTGCGCAGCACGCGGCTGCGGCATGCGTCCGCCCGACCGCAAGCAGCGTTGGGGACGTGTGTCTTTGGTGCGTCCGAAATTGTTCATCCCCGCCGCCTCGAATCAAATACACGACACCAAGGGGGGGTGCTCAAAAGACTGACTTCTGCTTGCTGATGCAACGTGGAGGTGGCAGCCTTTGGTTTGAGGAGAGCCCCCTTAAGGTGTGACGTGCACGTTTTTCCGCCCATCGGCCCTCCAACCCCAAAAAGGGTCTCAGAAGAATTTGCTGCCTGCATGCGTGAGGTGAGAACTCGGGTCGTAGCAATATGCGAGAATCAAGATGTTTGACATTGTTTGACGTTTGTGCATGCTGCATGCTTAATGCTTATAGGAAGTTTCAGAGCCAACTTGAGATAGAGCAACTGAGCAATTGGTTGAATTGAATTTGTTGCTCATCGTTGCTCATGCAAGATTGAAGACCTGCTCACTTCACCATGTTTGGTCAGATTCCATCCCAGCAGGTCTTACCAACCAGTAAAACTACATAAACGAAGGTTGTAGAATGTTATATATTCACGCTGCACACACCTTTGATTGAACAAGTCAATCCAGGTGAGCTCGCGGAGACGCGTGGCGTCCAATGCGAGGGCGCGGAGGCCGCGCCGCTGCCACAGTCGCGCTGTACAGGCGTGGCGAGTCGTCCATCAAAGCGCGGAAGCCGCTTGAGACTCTGCGAGGCTGTTTGGCTGTGTCACAAATAGCGAATATAACATGATATAATATGAGACTTCAATGTACTCATGAAGGAACATGATGGAACATGTCAACCTTCGTCCATCTCGATTCCGTAGGGACATGTCTTTCTCCCTCCCATGTCGACGAGATCGCATGTCACACACACACACACACGGTACGGGTTTCGGGAACCGTTCTACGGTGGTTTCAGAGTCGATGGCGCAGTCTCCCGGAGGGGGTTGCCATGTGGCAGTGCCATCTACCAGGAATCCACTGAGCCACTGTGGGTAGCAACAGACAGGAGTCCGCCCAAAGAGCCAAACCCTGCCAGGTCTTAAGCCCTTGGAGCGCCGCGTCATTTGCCCTGCCACCCCGCCGTGCGCTGCTCGAAGCACCTGGTGGATGGATTTGGGAGGTCTCCATGGTGTGTGAGGGGGTAGGAAACGCATGGAAACGTGTATGCTGTACGTTGGGAGGTCCCAGCCATGGTTGTCGAACATTTGGAGATACCTATATGCTTCTAGCGAAGCAGCATCTCTTGTTTGCCTTCTGTTTTCTGTAAGGAGACCAGCGCTGCAGCACCAGCGACCACGTTGGCACCAACCACCACTCTGGCGCCGATGACCACTTCCGCTACGTTGCCTGCAACAGAAGCAGCGAAGGTGCGAACACTAGACATTGGCCGCACGCAGACCACAAGAGCACCAGCTCAGATGTTGGGCCCTTTCATGCCCTTTTCCAAACTTCTTTGTCCTTTTGGTCAATCTTTTTCACCTGTTGGCACTAAGCAGTCGGTTGGCCAAGCGGCAAGTTGGGGAAGACCCGCAGTTCCTTTTGGGATATAATATATATTTATATTATATATATTATATAGATGTGTTATATATTATAGCTGTATATACCAATTTGAGGCGAGCAACTTAATCGTAGACCTCCACCACCTGCGGAAGCCCCCAAATTGGAGGGTGCGGCTTGCGTTTGCTGGTTCAGGTGAGTGTGAAAAGCGGCATGTCTCATGAAAGGTTCATACAAAGCAACGGAGGGGTAACAGAATGGTTTCTGCTGGTCAAGGCCGAGAATAGCATACGACGTGCATGCAGAAGCTGAAAAAGGCATGCAGGGACAAGTGCAATATTCTTTAGATTCTTCCATTTGCTGAGACCTTTGATTCAATTAGAGGCCATGTTTCTTTGGCCGGCAGGTGGGCTCATGGGTTGCGCCAGCATGGACCCTGAGCTGAGTTGGCGGAGGGGTTTGCTGTCGTTGACTTTAGTTTGGGGATGAAACTGGGTCACCCAGCCATCCATATCAGGAATAAGTTGTCGTGAAGATGCTGTCTACATAGCTTCCAAGAGATGCTTTGAGGGAGGGAGGAATTCCGTGCATCTCAGAGCGAATGCCCTTCGACTTGCGGCACCTTCGGCACCTGGTCAGGCCCGAACCCAACTTCATCCAATTCTGTATAAGATATTCACACCAATTCGTTGGCCAACGTGTTGTTTTGAGAAAAACCCTTGAATTCCCCATCCGACGGCTTTGGTGAAGGCAGGATCGTCCGACGTCAGAAGTCGTGTTTGCGTCCGACATCCGGACTCCTTTCTCACCCTGATCAACATGCATGTTAACGAACGAAAGGACACCAAGTGCCTTCAAAAGGATGATTACAATTGCATAAGAGATGATAAAAGCGTTTTATTCATATGCTGGAATGCTCCAGACCCTGTCAAATGATTGGGAACTCACATAGAACGATCCACCATGTAGCAATACATTGAAATCATTGGCAAAGATAGGGAAACCACAAATTTGACGGTGTAGGATATAGCCGCACATAG